GAGCAGGAAAGCTGATGTTTCGGGCCTAGACCCTTCTTCAGAAACGTCAGCTTTCCTGCTCCTCTGATGCTGCTTGGCCTGCTGTGTTCATCCAGCTCTACACCTTGTTATCCTTGATTTGGAAAGCAGATGATAGATTGAAAATGCTTCAGTGGTCTCCCTCCTCCCGATCTTTGTAATCTCCTTCAGTTCTCTGAGATATGTGCAGTCATTGAACTCCGGTCTCTTTAGCATTCCCAGTTTTTAATTGCACTGTAAACTCTGGAATTCTCAGCCTAAACCTCTCCAGCTCTCTCTCCCTTTTAAGGTGCCATGACTAATTATTTTTTTAAACTCATAGTTTCCATAAAGGCACTTCTATGAATACTGCTTCATTTGGAAATGCTGAATCATACAGTTACCCAAATACGTCGCCTTTGATTCCTGCTTGCTTATGTGTGTTTCTGAGTTCAACTCCAATATTCTTCTTGGCTTGCCAACTTAACTTGCATCAGGAGTTACAGAGGCTTGGCATACTTTTTGTTTTCAAGCACAGCTCCCCCTTTGGTTACGAGGATCACTTCATCCAACTCTATCCTGTCATTTCTCCCACGCACAAATATTTGTCCAGTTGGGATGGTATTCGATTTGGAGATGGTGTTTCCATTTGTAAGCTGCCCTTCTGATTGGTAAAGTTTGCAACTCTGGGAAGTTTGAAAATGACTTTGAATGAATACACTGTATTTTGTAAATAATGTACACTGAATCTACAGTGCATTGGTGGGAAGAGATATTTAAGAACCTTTATTGCTTTTTCCATTCTCATTTTTGTTAATTCTTTCTATAACCCTTGCTGATGTTCTTCTGAGGTAATAATAGGCTGGGTTGGATTTGTCCTGCTTTTTATAGAAAATATATATTGCTCTGATTCTGTACCGCTATACTGTAATTGGCTGATTTTGCTTGTCTGTTTTCTGCAACAAGATTGAGAAAACAATTTGGAGAACTGTATTTTTTTTATTGGATAGCCATTGGCTTTTCAGCTCTGGAACTAAGGTTCAAATGTAGCCCAGTTGAAAAAGTCTAAAGACCTGCTGTCAGCTAGCTGTAATGATCCCAAAAGAAATGAATCTGCAAATTTACGATCATTACCTTGTGAGAATGTACCTCAACATTCCATATGAAGATAGCTTCATACCCAATTATGATATAAATTGTGAATTCTTGCCATTTTCCATACCTGGTTGGGCAATTGTACTTTTTGATAACAACTGAATGTGTGTGTATTATAGAATCTTTATTAAAGTAAAATATCTCAAGGTTGAATTACCAAAGGTTCACACTGACAGATGCAGAGATAGCTGGACAGGTGATCAAAAAATCTGAAGATACTGAGACCGTGACCAGTACTAAATAGAATTCTTAATAGTAGTATAAACACCTGAATTGCTAGTATTATTTCTTTGAGTATTGGAATAATTATCTCATGTCATACTTTCATTTCAGTACAGTAGATTGAAGTAAAATGGCTGTCCGTCAGTCAGACCTTAATACAAATGGAATCACACCTATCCAACAAATGATCGCTTCATGTTCTGGTGCTTTAATGACTTCATTGATTGGTAAGAATGTGCATTTACTTTTTGTATTTTAGGAATTTTTGTGTTTGAAGAATAAATATTTGTGTATATGGACTTGCTTCTGTTTAATTATAACCTGTGTCTGTATGGACTTGGAAACTGAGAGGGCAGCATTGAAATTTACTGGTGAAACAAAATTGAGGGGAGGCAGAATGTAATAAATATTATTAAGTTTACTAGAGGTGTTGTATCAAAATGCATTGTTAAATTTCTTTGAAGTCTTTTCGACTTCAAAGAAGATATCTAGTGTGTACTCTTTCTTGGATAAAAGCTTGGACTTGCTGTTGTGGTCATAGCAAATTATCTGCGTATTTTTGTTCCTCTTGAACTCGGAGTCATAGAGTCCTACAACATGGAGACAGGCCCTTCAGCCCAAACTGGTCCATGCCAACCTAAAAGTCCATCCACGCTAATCCCATTTCCCATATCCGTCTAAACCTTTCTTATAGATGTATTCATCCAGATGCCTTTTAAATGTTGTTATTGTACCCACTTCAACCACTTCTCCTGGCAACTCATTCCATATGTGTTCCACCCTCTGTGTGTATCAAAGTTACCCCTCAGGTTCCCATGTAATCTTTCCCCTTACCTTAAACTGATGCCCTCTAGTCCTCGATTCCCCAACCCTGGGAAAAAGACTGAGTGCATTCACCCTGTCCATGCCTCTCATGATCTTATATACTTCTATAAGATTCCCCCCATGTTCTAAAGAAAAGCAGTCCTAGTTTGTCCAACCTCTCTCTCGAGAACTCAGTCCCTTGAGCCCTGGTAACATCCCTGTAAATTTATTCTGTACTGTTTCCAATTTAATAACAAGCAAGGTGACCAAAACTGAACACAATACTCCAAGTGTGGCCTCACCAACGTCCTGTACAACTGCAACATAAGTTCCCAACTTTGGTACTCAATGCCCTGACTGATGAAGGCCAGTGTGCCAAAAGCCGCCTTCACTGCCCTGTCTAAGGTCCCTCTGTTCCACTACAGTCGTTAAGGCCTTACCATTCACCCTGATTTGACTTTCCAAAGTGCAACACCTCACACTTGTCTATATTAACCTCCATTTGCCATTTCTTGGTTGATTTCCCCAGCTGATCAAGATCCTGCTGCAACTCCTGATAACCTTCCTCACTGTCCACAATACTGCCTATTTCAGTATCATCTGCAAACTTACTAATCATGCCTTGTACATTCTCATCCAAATCATTGATATAAATATCAAACAGCAATGGGCCCAGCACCGACCCCTGAGGCACACCACTAGTCACAGGCCTCCAGTCTGAAAAGACAACTTTGGCTTGAGTTGCAGATGTCAGTGTTCTTAAACAGATGGAGCTCGCAATATGTGATGTTTCTAACTGTATATATCTTTCTATTTCACAGATTTTAGTTTTTAGAATTTGTTTTTAAAGTCAAACAATTTTTTTTGTATGCCAGATTCTCTACTTTATGATTGGTTAAATTTGCTGTCTTTCTGTGGTCTAAATGCATTATATAATTAGAACTACTTAGAACTGGGTCATATTTTTGTGTATACTGTTCTTGATTGATAATGTACCATAATTTTGAATATTACTTGATGAATCATCTTAAAATATTTTTCAGTTACACCATTTGATGTTATAAAAATACGGCTGCAAGCACAGAGAACTCCATTTTATAAAGGTAATAAATGCAAGCTAAATATTTAATTTAAACAAAGTAGAATACAGCTTTTCATGTCTCCCTTATCGTGTAGTTGAGTACTGCCATGTTTCGTTTGTCGATTTAAAGTGATTGTCTAGGTTCCTGCAAACTTTAATATTTATGATTGTGCTGAGAATTTTTAACATATACGCCACTAAACTGAGTAGACAGAAATGAATTTCACTCTTCTGTTTGGTTATTGATTTATTAAAATTGTTGAAGATTTGATTTTCTTCTGTGTTATCAGTGTTTATCAACATTTCCTGTTGTGGCATAGGCCAATGGAATTGGTTAGCTCAGTTGGCTGGACAGGTAGTTGCAATGCAGAATGACACCAGTTACGTGGATTCAGTTCCCACTTACTCACCAGAGGTGTAGTGACCTTCAGGCTAAATCACTACCAACCATCACTTGCTTTCTCTAGTGAGAGCAGCCCTATGGTTCTTGGAACTATGGTGACACTACTTAGGGGGTTGGTTAATTCATGTGGCTGTTTAGCTAGTTTGTGATACAGTGTATGCCATCACCTGCATTTAACTCCAGCATCATCTGAAGTTGCCGTGAAGGACTCTCCTTTTCAACCTCTCCCCACACACGAGGTATGGTGACCCTCAAGACAAACCACCACATCATCTCGCTCTAATGAGAGAGCAGCCCTATGATCCAGTAACGCTATGACAGCTGTTTGTACATGGCAGCAATCTGTAAGTATATCCTAATTTTAAATATATTTAATCATTAGGAAAATGCTTTCTGTACTGCAATGGCCTGATGGATCATCTATGTGTCTGTGAGAATGGAAGTAATGCTGCTTGGTACAAAGCACCAGGGCAATTCAAAGGAACATTGGTAAGCATTTTAATTTCTTTATGATTGCATGATATCCTTAGTGGTGAAGTCACAGTTAACTTAAGCCTAACAAAGTGTTACAAAAAGATTTTTCTCTGTGGTGGGTACTATACTGTACAAGTATGTTTTTGGGAGCTGTATAGGAGTGTTTTGAGGATCTGTAAAGAAATGTTTTGGGATTAATGAGATTATACTTTTACCAATCTTTAAAAATCTTTAAATATGTGTTTAAAAGAAATAAATTGGTTTATCGATCTTCATTTCTTTTGTTAATAAATTTCTGTTTTGTTGTGAAAATAAAATTTGCACCAATGTAAGCTTATGTCTCAGTGAAAAATACCTTGTTAAAACTAAACTAAAACAAAACACATTGTGATCTATCAAACCAGATTTCAGTCTAGGGTCAACATCATTTGGGAGCATTACAGCCTGATAACAGATTTTTGTTCGAATTATGGATCACTGTTACAGTGTAGGAAAATGCAGCAGTTAATTTTCATAGGACAAGATTCCACAATTATCATTGAGCTCCTCATCTGTTTTGGTGATGTTGTTTGTGAGATAAAGGTTAGTCAGGGTGCAAGAAAATCTCCCCTTCTCCAAATAATCATCCTGTCTACAACTGTTACCTTTCAAGAAGGACCAGGAGGCTGAAATATAAACAGAAGGAGCTCTGTTAAGGACATGTTTAATCTTCAGGCAGCAAGGTTAGACTGATTTGTTTCCCACCAAAAATAGCAGACATCATCAATGTCACATGATCAGACTCTTCATGACATTCTACTATACATACAAAATGCACAACAATATCCATTTATTACCATCTTATTAGACTGACAGGCTCTGACTGTGTAGCACCTCCATAATGAATTTACATTAAGTAAGTAGGAGACATAGGGTTGTGGTGGAAGATTGCTTATCGGACTAGAGGCCTGTGATCAGCAGTGTGCCGCGAGGATCTGTGCTGGGTCCACTGCATTTTGTCATTTAAATAAATTATTTGGATGTGAATGTAAGAGGTATGGTTAGTAAGTTTGCAGATGACACCAAAATTGGTGGTGTAGTGGGCAGCAAAGGTTATTTTAGAGGACAATGGGACTTTGATTAGATGAGCCAATGGGCCAAGAAATGGCACGTGGAGTTCAGTTTAGATAAATCAGAGGTGCTGCATTTTCGTAAGGAAAATCAAGGCAGGACTTATACACTTAATGGTAAGGTCCTGGTGAGTGTTGCCAAACAAAGAGATCTTGGAATGCAGATTCATAATTCCTTGAAAGTGGAGTCATAGGTAGACAAGATAGTGAAGAAGGCATTTAGTACGCTTGCCTTTATTGGTCAGTGCATTGAGTGTCGGAGTTGGGAGGTTGTGTTACAGCTGTACAGGACATTGGTTAGGCCACTTTTGGAATACTGCATTCAATTCTGGTCTCCCTGCTGCAGGAAAGATGTTGTGAAATTTGAAAGGATTTGGAAAAGATTTCCAAAGACGTTGCCAGGAATGGAGTGTTTGAGCTATAGCGAGAGGCTAAATAGTCTGGAGCTATTTTCCCTGAAGCGTTGGAGGCTGAGGGGTGACCTTATTGACGTTCCTAAATTTATGAGAGGTGCGGATAGGGTGGACAGTCAAGGTCTTTTCCCCAGGGTGGAGGAGTCCTGAACTAGAAGGGAAGGATTTAAAAGGTGCATGAAGGGCAACTTTTTCATGCAGAGGGTAGTACGTGCATGGAATAAACTGCCAGAGGAAATGGTGGATGCTGGTGCAATTACAAGTTTAAAAGGCGTCTGGATGGGTATATGAATAGGAAGTGTTTAGAGGGATATTGGCCAAATGCTGGCAAATGGAATCAGATTAATTTAGGATATCTGGTTGGCATGGATGTGTTGGACCAAAGGGTCTGCTTCTATGCTGTGCATCTCTATGACTCTAACGACTAAGTGCATCAATGGTTCTGGGCGGTGGTGATATGTATTTGGAGACTAATGCACCTGATCTCTTCCCAAGCAACACTTATTAGTTTGGAATCTGCATAGTATATACATGTATGGAATTAGCTGTACCCATTAAATGTTGTTACGTTATCAACCTTAGATATTATTGCTATAATTGCATCATATCTAGATTATATTTAGGGCTAGCAAGAATTGAAAAATATTTTGATGTATCTTTGTGAATATACCAGGGAAATATTCTTAAGTAACTATTTACTTATTGACGTAAGATATTCATTGCTAATCACATATGTAAAGTCAGCATGACTGGAAACTGAAGAATAATTTTGAACAGATGATTAGAGAGCAATTTTATAGGTATTACCACAAATCCTGTTTTCTCAGAAACTGTATATTTTTAAGATCCTTCTTGGGTATGGTCAATGACCAATCTAGGTCTTTTCAGATTACCAGTAGCTCGATTTGTAAATGAAAACAGATAATGCTGGAGATGCACAAAAGGTCAGGCAGATCTGTGGGGAGAGAAAGTTAATGTCTTAGGTCAATGGCCTTTCATCAGAATTGGAAAGATTTAAGAAATGTAACAAGTTTTAAGCCAGTACAGAAGCAGGAAAAATGAATGATGGGGAGGATGCATTCCAACGGGTCAGATGGATTGCTACCCCCCTAACATTTTAGACACTTATTTACACAGTAGGAAACAATGCATACCATTTGCTAGATGCAGTGCAATAACACGTGAAGACTTCTTTTACAGCACCTTCCAAACCTGTGACCTCTGTCACCTGGAAGGACAAGGGCAGCAGGTGCATGAAAATACATATATTGCCACCTTCAAGTTCCCCTCCAAACCATACCACCCTACCTTGAAAATGTCTTGCCAATCCTGGAACAGTAACAACACAGTGGGTGTTGGCACCTACACTACATGGACTGCAGCAGTCTAAGAAGGTAGCTCATCACCACCTTCAAGGGCAGTTAGGAACAGCCAATAAATGTTGGCTAGGCCTGTGATATGCACCTCGCTTGAATGAATAAGACAAAAGAACAAGGGTGAAGATATTAAATAACAAAGTTATGAAGGTGCAAAAAAGGATGTCGTAGGATTATTTAATAAAAATCTTGTCTGGAGCACATAAATTATTTTAAACTTAGAAGGAAACATTTTTCATTGGAATTCCAATGATAAAATATCAAGATTTAATTGTACCAGTTACCCTGTCACACCACCAGGTGTTGCTATACAGCCTCCCTAACCCTTCACACAGCTTCTTTTATTCAGCTCATTCCACTGTTCCAATGGTGAAGTTCTTTGTCTTCACTCAGTGGCCTTGGATCTATTTTCTACCCTCTGGCTTACCGCTTCAGTTCGAAGACATGATCACTCAACAGTTCCAATAGCTGCTGTAGATTGTTGGCTTTCTTATCCCACTACTTCTGGGTCTCTTCATTTCTTTCCTATTGTCCATGTGTTGAAGTTACATTTTTAAAAGTATATCCTGTACAGAAATTGTCTCAATATCTTTTAGATGAACTATTGCCTGACAGAAGATGATCTCCATCTTCTTGATAAGCAGCCAGTAATGTTGATAGTACACAATTACCAAGTAATGGACATTTCAACAAATGCTGTAACCACATCTCTTTAACCTAGAATAGCACTGCATCATAGCTTATCAGCCATTGTCCATGTCTTGTCTGCGTTAATATCTGATATTGCTCCCACCCACACCACCGGCTTACCAGCTAGCGTTTGTCCTCAAACAGGAATAGCATTCACTGTTTCTATTCCTGCTGACCTGAACATTATTTTCTAGATCCTCTACACAGATTCCTGAGTCCACTGGGCTGGTTTGAACTTTCCTGTCTCCATCACTCTGATTCAACCCATTGCTACACACAAAATTGACTCATTCTACCGCCTATCCATGTGCTGAAGTTACATTTTTAAAAGTATATCCTGTATGGAAATTGCCTCAACATCTTCTGTCAGGCAATAGTTCATGTAAAAGATAATCTCCACCTACTTGATAAACAGCTAGTAATGTTGGTAGTACACAATTACCAAGTAATGGACATTTCAACAAATGCTGTAACCACATCTCTTTAACCTAGAATAGCACTGCATCGTTGCTTATGAGATGTAGAGAAGTAAAAAGAAATCTTGCTCCTCATGAATATTTAACATTGACCTAGCTGTAACTGCAGTGGTACGTAAAAAAGCTCAATACCATCAAATGCACAACAGTTGAGTTGATTAATAGCTCAACTGGCACACTAACTGCAGATTAGTTCAGATCTGCAACCTCTGTGTCTAAGAGGGACAAGATCAGTAGCATCACCACTTCCAGATAAAAGGATTTCAACACTTCGAGGAAAAAGCCCACTACCGTATTCTCCATGGGACTCAAAATGGATAATCAATGTGAGCTTTGCAACATTGATCACATGCTAAGAATAAATTTAAGAAACTGTGTCATTTATCCAAATTTGGTTTTAAATATTTGTAGCAGAGCTAGGGCCAGCTTTTTTTTTTCCACGAAGAGAGCTGAAGCTTTTCATCTTGCACTCATTAGGACAAATGCAAAAGTGCCAAGTTTCAACAATATGCACTACAGGAAGAATAGGTCCAGATTGTTTGAAATGTCAGTTCTGCTGAATCATTGCCATGGAGAAAGGAAGGTAGAAGCTAAGGTTCCTTAAGCTCTTGGGGAATTCAAAAAAGTCCACCCTGTCCTTATAACTCAATCCCTCCAGTCCCAGTAACATCCTTTGCAAACCTTTTCTGCACTCTCTCCAGTTCTTCCAAGATGAATCACTTCACACTTCTCTGTGTTGAATTTCATAAGCTGTCTATCATAATTCGCAATATTCTTGATTGTTGTATCATCTGCAAATTTTGAAATTATGCCCTGGGTACGCACAAGTCTGAGTCATTGATATATTTCAGGAACAACAGGAAACCCCTGCAGAACTTTGACTCCTGGGACCTCCATTACAAGCCTTCTACCAGTCAGCGACATCTATTAGTCATTTATCTCTGATTGCTGTCACTCAAAACAAAATTGTCCAAATTACTACTACTCCTACATTCCATGAGCTATAACTTTGTTCGTAAGTGTGTTGTGCAGTACTGTATCAAATGCCTTTTGGAAGACCATGTATACCACATCAACACCAGAAATTTATTCAACCTGTCTAATAACTATTTAAAAAGCTCATACAGATTAATTTTTCCTTTTTATTCATTCATGAAATGTGGGCATCACTGTCTAGACTAGCATTTTGTTCCCCATCCCTAATTGCCCTGGCGTTACTGGTGCTGTAAGGAAGTTTCAGGATTTTGGCCTAATGACTGTGAAGGAATGATGATATTATTTTAAGTCAGGATGGCGTACGACTTGGATGGGAACTTGCAAGTGGTGGGGTTGTCTTGCATTTGCTTGTCCTTCTAGGTGGTAAATGTTTCGAAGGTGCTGTAAAAGAAACCTTGGTGAGTTTCTGCAGTTCATGTTGTTGGACTGCTTTGTTCTGGATGGTATCCAGCTTCTTGAGTTTATTGGAGCTGCACTGTAGCAGGTAAGTGGAGAGTATTCCATCACATTCCTGATTATGTGCCTTGCATATTGATGGACATGCTTTGAGGAGACAGGATGCAAGTTATTTGTTGCGTGGTTCCAAAAATCTCACCTGTGCTTGTAGCTACTGGCTGTACCAGTTCAGTTTCTGATCAGTATCAACATCCTCGTACTCACAGTCCAGGGATTCAGTGAAGGGCAATACAGTTGAACTTAAAGGTACAGTGGTTAGGTTCTCTGTTGTTGGCAACGATCGTTGTCTGACAGTTGTGTGGATTGAATGTTGCTCGTCACGTATCAACACCAGTCCAAGCCCAGCTATTGTCAAAGTTTTGCTGAAAATGCACAAAGAATGTTTTAGGATCCAAGGAGTCCAGAATTATGCTGAACATTGTGGAATCGTCAGCAAACATTCACATTCTTGACCTTATGATGGGAGAAAGGTCATTGATGAAGCTGCTGATGATTATTGGGCCTGGACCACTACTTTTGAGGAGATCCTGCACAGATGTCCCAGAGTTGTGATGACTGACAAGGGTGGCATGGTGGCACAGTGGTTAGCACTGCTGCCTCACAGCGCCAGGGACCCGGGTTCGATTCCAGCCTCGGGTGACTGTCTGTGTGGAATTTGCACGTTCTCCCCGCGTCTGTGTGTGGGTTTTCTCCGGGTGCTCCGGTTTCCTCCCACAGTCCAAAGATGTGCAGGCTAGGTGGATTGGCCATGCTAAATTGCCTGTAGTGTTCAGGGATGTGTAGATTACGTGGGTTATGGTGGGATGCTCTGAGGTTCGGTGCGGACTTGTTGGCCTGAAGGGCCTGTTTCCACACTGTAGGGATTCTATGACCTCCAACCCCTGTCTTCCTTTATGCTTGGTATGACTCCAATCAGCAGAGACTTTCCCCTGATTCCCATTGACCCCAGATTCGCCTCAGTTCCATCATGTCATATTAATTCAAATGAGGACTGAAGAGGCATGATCATTGAAAGTACTCAACAAGGTAGGTTTTTGAAATATCAAGAGTTGTCCAGGGTGAGGATGTAGCAAAAGAGGAGTTAAGATCTGGGTGAAATCAGCCACGATGGTGGTTGAATGGCAGAGCAGGCATGAGGGGTTAAATGGCCTACTCTAGCTACTATTTCTTATGTTAATGTTGTCCTGACTCCAAAGGCCATCACTCTTAACTTATCTCTGGAATTCAGCACTTTTGTCCATGTTTTGACTAAGGCTATGATGGTCAGGAGCTGTAGGGGCCTGGTGGAAACTAAACTGAGCATCAGTGAGCAGGTTTCTGTTTTGCAAGTGCAGTTTGAAAGCATTGTTAACCCCTTCCATCTCTTTGTGAGTAGACTGGTAGTTGGCAGGATTTGATTTGTTCTGCTATTTTTGTGCACAAGACATAACTGGGCAATTTTCTACATTGTTGGATAGATGCCAGTATTGTAGATATACTGGAACAGCTTGACTAGAGGCTGAATTTGTTCTGGAGACCAAGTCGTAAGTTCTATTGCTGAAATGTTGTCTGGGCCCATAACTTGCTATACCACTGTCTTCAGCTGTTCCTTGATGTCATGAAGGACATCATAAGTGAATCGAATTGGTTGAAGAATTTCATTTGAGATGCTTGCCATCTTGGGAAGAGACTGAGATGAATGCAAATATTTCAGCCTTGTCTTTTGCATTGATGTGCTGGCTCCCCCTTCATCGAGGCCGTTGATATTTGTGGAGCCTCCACCTTCGGGTAATTGTTTAATTGCTCACCGTCATTCAAAACTAGATGTGACAGATCTGCAGAGCTTGGATCCAATCCATTGAAAATGTGATTTCCCCTGAACAAATTAATTCTGACTTTCCTTAATTAACCTGCATTGACCCAAAAAGCTATTAATTTTGAGCAGAAGTGTTGTAATTGCAGCATCTAGTCTGGAGTCTTATCAATTCTTAAGTAAAGACAGCCTACTATAGTACCTCCTCCCTCTCAATTTTAAATCCAAACATCTGAACTAACTTCTCTTTTAACATAGCCTGTCTAGCACATTTAATGCCTCAGCTATGTACCCTGCCTCCAAGTGTAAAATTCCTTTTGGTTCCTAATCTGCCCCGGTCCTCTTTTTACCATGCTTTTTTATTGGCTACAAAAAGCTTCCGTATTTCCTTTTGTGTTATTTGCCTGTCTCTTTTTGCGCTTTCTCTTTACTTCTCTTATTTTTTTTTCTTCACTTGCCCTCTGAACTGCCCATATTCAACCTGGTTCTCAGTTGTACTATCCATGTGACATCTCTCATAAGCGTATTTTTTTCTTTTTCATCTTAATCTATGTTATCATCAAGGAGGCTCTGAATTAGTTTTTACTATTTTTCCCCTTACTATGAAATGTATCTTCGACTATGTCTGAATTGTTTATTCCTTGAAGGTAGTCCAATGATCAGTTACTGTTTATTCCTGCCAGTGTTTCATTTTACAATTGATCTGTCCCAGATCCATTCTTTCTTGCAAACAATGCAGCAAGTTCAGGCATGTACTCAAAAGTGGAATTCCAAAAGTTGCTGTGTGAGAAACACCACTGCTGTTGCCTTCTCAAAAATGTCTTCTTGCTGTCGCATTCCAATTGAAGGCGCTTTGAGTGGTGTTACAATAAAGGTTTTTGTCTATCTCATTAGTAAGTATCCTATTAATGATGTAATAAGTGTTAACTACTTCTGAATAACCTCCGCAGCAGTGAAAATTAGTGTGTCACATCTCTTAAAGTTCTAACTATTGAAGTTTTGTTTTAGTTCTTTTGTGAAATTTTGGTATCATTGCAAGGACAGCATTTGTTTCCTGTCCATAATTCGCTATGAACTAAGCAGGAACAAAAACAAAGTTGCTGGAAAAGCTCAGCATGTCTGGCAGCATCTGTGAAGGAAAAAACAGATTTAACTCAGTTCTGAGGAAGGGTCACCGGACTCGAAACGTTAACTCTGTTTTTTTCTTTCACAGATGTTGCCAGACCTGCTGAGCTTTTCCAGCAACTTTGTTTTTGTTCCTGATTTACAGCATCCACAGTTCTTTTGGTTTTAATGAACTAAGCACCTTGCTCATCCATTTCAGAGACAGTTTAGAGTCACCATGTTATTGAAGGGGTGTCAGGTGTGGGCTCGCATATGTAAGAATGGCAGATTTCCTACCTCTAAAGATCATTAGTGAGCTAGATTGGTTTTTACAACAATTGAGCATAACTGTCTTGGTTACAATTACTGATTAAACCAATGAGCTGAAAGCATTAGTCTGGACCTTTGGAGAGCTACTTAGTGATATTACCAAATGCCTAAAAATTCAAACTTTTTATTTTTTCTTTTTGATTTTCCTTATTCTGTCTCTGTCTAATCGTTTTCCTTGCACTTATTTTTCTTTCTTTATCTGATTTGTCATTGGATTTGTCCACTCCGCTTTATGCTTCCCTCTCGATCCTTGTTCCATTAATTTCATATTACTTGGGTCTGATTGATTAAGTATTTAGTTACCCTGTTCACACAAGTCCCAAATATCTGACTTGCTCTTTACAATGTTATTAACTTATTAACTGAACAAATGTTCACTTTACTAAGTGTTTTCAATGAAAAAGCAGACAACATGTTTTATTAAATATTGTGAGATATTTGCCTTTGAATATGTTTTATTTAAAATTATTGTTTAGCATAACACAAGGATTTTTTTTTCATTTGTGTTCTAGGATGCATTTGTTCAAATTGTTCGTAATGAGGGACTAAAGTCACTCTGGAGTGGACTTCCTCCAACATTGTAAGGTTACTTAAATAATGCTGTCATGAGATTATGACCTGCAAAATTGCATTTCTGAAATATAAAGTGGCATTTAAATATGTTTAACTGTGCATCAGCCTTGTTGATAAAAGTTGCAGTTAGTGAGAAACTAAACTGAATCTTGCCTTTGAAATCTTTGGTAGATGTTTGTTTAAAAACCGATGTTTAAGATGACTAAAACAAATACTAGAACTGTATAACAGTGTGGAGCTGGAGGAACACAGCAGGCCAGGCAGCATCAGAGGAGCAGGAAAGCTGACGTTTCGGGTTGGGACCCTTCTTCAGAAAACTTTCTCCAACTCCACACTGTGTTATCTCAGACTCCAGCATCGGCAGTTCTGTATGGTAGTTTCTGACTTAAAGAAGAAGGCAGAGCTTCAGTATGTTAAATATGTTTTATCTCAAGTGGTATGAAATACTGAAGCTAAAATGTTCCATATACAACTTCCATATAACTTAAGTTAGAGTGCTGTGACCAATGCAGAATGTGGAGCACAGTAGTTGGAGTATTGAAAGTAATGAAAGAATGGGACACCAGGTGGTCTGGTAGTTGAGGATCAAGAACAATGAAGAAAAAATACAAGGTGAAACATCAGAGCTTTAGAACAGAAATCAATCTCGCTTAACACAGAATTGTGAGGCTGAGGAGTTAATTCATAAAAATTAATGATTAAGACAAAAACTATACCAGCTTTGCAATTTGGAGGGGATAGGAAAATGAAGGAAAAGGGGTGCAAGGAATGTGGGAACAGGGTTCTAAATGTGACCAGTGCTTTAACATGGAGAGTGACAACTACTGTGTACTGTTTGGACCTATTTCTGTGCGTTATCTTCTATGTGTACTTAGTAAAGGTGAAGTCACTGTAGTCTTACCAGATCATAGGGCTGCTCTCTCATTCGAAAAAGTATGGTGGTTTAACCTGAGGGTCACTACACCTCAGGCAAGGGGAGAGGTTGAGAAGGAGAGTCCTTTGTGGTAACCTCAGCCAGTGCAGCAATTAAGCCCACACTGTGGCATCACTCTGTATCTCAAACCTGCCATCCAGCCAACTGGGCTAAACAGACCCCCTTAAAAATCAGTACATTTGGAGAGAGCAGACACTCGAAGATACCTATTATTAAAATCTAATAATGAGGAATTTAATACAACCAGAAACACTTAAAGCCTTATTTCAGTCAAGTAAAACAGAAATACGGAAGACATAAAATCAATGTGAGGAATAAGATATCGAGATCTCTGAAGAAAATCGAAGAAATAAAATTCTGCCCTTGCTTCTGTACATCTAAGTGTACGTGACAAAAAATTAAAATCAACTCAGATCAAAATCAAGAGTACAAAAGATTGTTGCTGCAAATTGCCCAAGACTCTGAAGTGTGTAAGATTGCAGAGATTCCTATACTTCAGAAAACTGTGACCTTTGTCTCATTCTTGAGATCCTGATCCTCGAATACCTTTTTTTCTTTAATCATTCAATGGCTGAGCTTGCAATTACCATAAGAGGTAGGAACAGGAGTAAGCCTTTCGGCCCCTGGAGTTTGTTTTTATTGAGAGTAGACTCCTAAGATTTTGAACAAAGCTCATATGTCCCAGGATTGCACGAATATTCTTAAGGATTTTCTGGGGGGACGTGGATTCTGATTGAGTGCACACATGTTATCTGCTTAATGAAGTTATATTGATTTTAGTTCTGGTTTGTTTTTGAAGGTAGTAATAAACTTCAATAAGATTTTCTTTTTGTTGGAAGTAGGTGTCACGGACTGGGCTGGCCTTTATTGCCCGTCCCTAGTTGCCCCTAAGAAAAGGGTGAACTGTCTTCTTGAACTGCTGCAATCCATGTACTGTGATAGACCCATAATGCTGTTAGGGAAGGAATTCCGTGAATTGGCTGAGTGCCGGTGGACATGGAAGGGATGTGGTAGATGAAAATCAACAAGCAAAAGTGTGAAGCCATTTATCCTGGTAGGCAGAATGAGGAGATTAATACAAGCCAAGTGCAATAATTTTACAACAAGAACCTGACAACAGTGCAGATTGAAAAAGCAATTAATAACACATACATTCCTGAGCGCCTCACCCCAAACCATGGAAGGCAAGTTCAAAGGCAGGCACATGCTGTGATTGAGTCCTAGTTCTGAATAGAGATTCTGCTGCTTTCCAGCCTTCCCTCTGAAGTTCTGGTCAAGAACGCTTTCAGCCATCCTTCCTTCCCCAAGGCCAGCTGAGTGCCACATTCCACTAGTGCTGGTATTGAACCAGCAAATGGCAGGAGACTCATCATCTGGGAAGGCTATCGGTGACCTTCAAAGAGAAATCCTTCATTCTCGGACATTGTGTGCCTGATCGAGAGACCTGGCATGGTAACAGGAGGCCCTATAGGAAACAGGTACAATTGGGTGATGTCAGTGCCCCTGCTTTGTGGCTGGCTGTCCTTCATCTCTTTCCACCTCTTCCCCCACCCCCTTCCGTCCTTGAGAAGCCATTTCACCTCACTTAACTGAATCTGGATGTCCCATCACCTATCTTCCATGCAGACTTCCAGTGATGCAGCCAATATTTCACAGCTACGAAGCTCTTATCGACTGGTAATCTCTGAAATAAGATTTCTATCCAATTAAGGTCTTAACTCAGTGGGAGGCCAGGATCGCACTGAAGTAATGTTAGTATTCCTATTGAAATGTGGTTTCCCGCATGCTCTTCAAACACTGAGTTGCTGCTGCTTCCTTCCTCACCTACCCCCACAAAGCTAAATCCTGCCCATAGTGTGCTAATGCCAGGTAGTTATACTAAATTTGTCTGAAGCACTAATTTAACTCCAACTGGTGAACTGTCAAATTCTAGGTACAGTATGTCAGGAAGGATGTGAAGACTTTGGGGTCACACAGAAGAGAGTTAGCATATTTGTTGCAGGGATGAGTAATTACAGTTACACTGACTGAAAAAGCTGAATCTTTTGTTCTTAGAGCAGAAAAAACCAAGAGGAAGTTTCTTCAAATTTGAAGATTAGAGTTCACTGAGAGAAATTGCTTCCACTGGCTGTGTGATCAATAAGCAGAGGTTAACAGATTGAAGGTGATTGACAAACGAACTAGAGGAAACATGAGGTTAAACAGTTTTTTTAATGCAATGAATGTTTAGGATTTGGAATGCATTGCCTAACCATCTCATGAAAACTGATGTACCACTATTAATCAAAAGGGAATTGGAAAAGTACTTGGAGAAAATGATTCCAGAAACTTGGTAGAAGTAGAGGAGTGAGCACATGACTAAGTAGATCTTTCAAAACTGCCAGAGCAGGCTCAATGAGCTGAATATGTCCTTTTTTGCTATTCTATTCTGTTGAGGTTGGTTCGCTCGCCGAGCTGGTTTGTTGTTCTGCAGACGTTTCGTTACTGTGCTTGGTAACATCCTCAGTGCAGCCTCTGATGAAGCGTCAGTGTGTTTTCCCGCCTGGTTTTTAAACTCTGGCGTCCGTTGCGATGGATTGCCTCACTTCCGGGTTTCCTCCATAGTGGAATGTATATGGGGTCAAGTTCAATGTGTTTATTAATAGCATGCTTCATGGAGTGCCATGCTTCCAGGAATTCTCGTGCTTGTCTCTGCCTAGCCTGTCCCAGGATCTTGGTGTTGTCCCAGTAGAAGTCGTGGTTCTCCTTGTCCATGTGGATTGAGATGAGTGAGTATTGGTCGTGTCCCCGCAAAGCATGCAACAGACCCCAGAGTTTAAAAACCGGGCAGGAAAACACACCGACGCTTCATCAGAGGCTGTACTGAGGATGTTACCAAGCACGGTAACGAAACGTCTGCGGAACAACAAACCAACTCGGCGAGTCAACCAACCTCAACACGCACAACCCGAGCTACAGATCTACTCCAAAACCTTATTCTATTCTGTGATTCCATAAAGACAGATACTTGGGGAAACCAATTTTATTTGATTTGGATGGTTGGCAGTTTTGCTGCAGTGTGTTTTTTTTTATATAAAGTTTGCTGTATTTCATATTGTATTTTGGTTCAACTTCATCATGTTCTGATGTTCAGATCTGCTAGCCTCCTCAGTCTTAAGATACATGAATTAACTTTTGTTTTCCCTCATAATCTTTATATATTTACCTTTAAAGCTGGCAAAAATAACTGTTTTGAGAAAAGGCTGTCTGTCATCTTCTCCATTTGTATTTGATCGCTGCCGAAACTGTCTGTTTTAACTCAGCCTATCAAACTTCTTTTTAACCTGCTTGTGCGATTGTCAGTTATCCTAAAAACAAAGGTGACTTTTTGGATGGCATTTCTCTTCCAATTCTAGTTTCAGTAACCTTAATAAAGAGCCCATCTCTGTTATTTTATTTTCAGCCATTTCCATCTTTACCATACCGTTTCAACAGTTCATTATTTGTCTGGTATCACTTTAAGACTTCTGATCTTAGTTAATATTCTGACCATTAGACTTCAGTGGTGTTGCCTTTTTAATCTCTTTTGTTCTTTGGCTTCACTTTTAAAGAGAGCAAGTGAATGCAAGAGAAAGAGTGAACACTGCTGCCTCTAAAATTAAACATTTGTATATTTTGGAAAGCTCTTAAATTCTGGCTTGATTCTTGGCCAATATTTCTAACAGTTGTTTCACAGCCTCTCAGGTCCTGTTACATGGTTCAGAAATTCCATTTTTAAATATTTGTCTAAACCTCTAATAGAGATTGAAATTGAACCACTGCGTTGTTTCCCATGAAAGCTATGATTATGGTTTGCAACTTTGTGGACAAAGCAGGTCTACCAGGACTGCAATCAATTAATTATTTTGAGTATTTTTCCCATTTAGCATGCTCAGAAATCTGTCTTTTGGGAAATTGCACATCCTCTTTCACAATAGTGGCTACAGTTCAAAGGTGCTTTATTGTCTGAAGGCTGTGAAAAATGCCATATAAATGAAAGTCTTTTTCTTCTACTTCAATAAAAGGATATTCATGTTTGTATCTCCATCTATTAA